AATGTTGCAGAAAAATTAGTGGCGTTAGGGCGGGTCATTGAGCATGGCAAAAGTCCATACAAGTCCAGATTTAAGGTTACTGTCAATCTGTTGGAAAGCAGATTTCAATTTTACTGGGAGAGACAAGGCTGCTTGGTGAGTAAGTGCGAGTCCATGAGAGAATTATTAAGAGCTCTGAAAGGCAAAAATATTAAGCCAGGTACTCACGGCTAACGAATATGTCGTGATGCTAATAAATATATCCTTGACAGTAGTGCTAGTAAACGCCTAGTGCGCGATTCCTAAATACTTCAGGATGCAAAAAAATGTAAAGATTCTGAATGGTTGCTTCTTCCAAATGACGTACATTCTAGATTTTCATTAAGAAGGCCGCGTTAAATCCTTCTGTGGTGTGGCAATCATGAAGATGATGAATTGCAGCTAAATAATGTGTATTACGTACTTTTGTTGTACCGCAACTTTGATCCATATGGAGAACTGGCGTATCAAGAATGTCGATTCAAGACGCGATGGGGGTCATTTAATAAAGCAACCCTTTTAATAAACTTGAAGTAGCGCATAGATTTAAATGACATTTTAACGGATAACTATCGTTTCTGACCATGTATTAAGTAATCATACATATACTGTCACGAGTGCAGCCATGGCAGAGCTACGTGAATCGCAACAAAGTTCACTTCGTGATTATAGCTCAGGTTTTGGCCACTATAAAGATCGACACAATTAAAGAGAAATTCCCGTTGTAACATTCCGAGAATCACATTCACTGAACGCTTGCGTCCATATAGTACTATCTGCGCGAGCGTCAAGGCGAATTAATTTCTGTCAGCCCAAGAAAAATTGAAATTAACTGTTGATCGATCAGGTAGGTGAAGTGTATAGCAGTGATAGATATGTCTTATTTGACGGCTTGGTAGATACGGCAGTATTTACGGGTCATATTGGTGGGTCATTTTTGGGTATTTGCAATAAATATTGAAATTATGTAAAGGTTCACATGAATTATCGCTTATATTATATAAACGTATTAAATTGACATGTGCATGTTCTTTTTACGAACGAAAGTAAAAATATGCAAACCTTATTAATATTACGATCTGGAAGGCGTCTCGAGTCAAAGGTAAACGAGGGGCCCCCCTACAATCCATAAGCCAGACCCAGTGTTCAAACATAGAACGAGCTTCATGAGCAAGCTTTCTTGCTTGAAAGGGATCCCGATCGATAACATGTCGTTTACTTGAATGAATTCAATAATCTACGGGTACCTTGTTTACCTGTCCCTCGGGACACGATAACAATAAGATCGACCCGTCACGCATTCCGTCGTTTCTTTTTTAAAACGAGCAACAAATAAAAACAAGTTTATAAAAAGGAGAGTCGATACATTACGGCTCAGTACATTAGTAGCATAAAGGCATTAGGCTTGTCTACAAATGAGCAAATTTTGAAGCGCTTGATGAGGAGAGCGCAAAAGACCATATCATAATTGCGACAGGATCTTGATGATGAGCGCATAAAAGGCGATATCACGGAGTCAAAAAGAGGTGGACGGTAGTGGACAAGGTGCCTATTATCGTGAAGTAGTGCCAGCGATGATAACGCTTATTGCGATCCGAAAATTGAATTTAGTGTCTATCCATATTGACGTGTGTTACATTGCTAATCCAAAATCGTTGTAATAGGACTCTTGAAAGTCCGTAAAACGTAAAATGAACGAAGGCAAAGAGTGGATGGACTGCCTGCTCGAATCTTACGATACCCGGACACTAATCAAGTGTGATGTCGGAGCCAGCAGTATCCATATAATGGGGCATGGAATCAAGAACGACGATGTGATAGGCTCACAAACCTGCAAATAGACAGTACAGTGGCAGGTGGAATCAAACAAATGTTTTAGATTTTTTTGCTTTTTCGGCAACGGCAAACTTTGGTGACGGCCGAGTAATTATGCTGCTGCCAATAATTTCGGGCGTCCATGCTTCACATGGTGGTGTACCATCAGCCCTGATTAAATTTTTGGCTCATTCATTGTGTGACATTCTAGTTTATGTTCTGAATCAATGTAGATTAACAATTTACAGCTATCTAATGTGGGAGCTTTAAGAGTTAATGTACTTTGCTGCGTCTTATATAATTTATGTAAGGATTCAACAGGTGGATGGAATATGACACGGCGTACCATATAACATGGCCAGTCTAAGAATTGCGCAATGTATTACAGACACATACACTATTTCCAAGAATGACGAAAAGGCACCACATGTGTTCGCAATGTGCTCGAACTGTACTTGTTGCGAGGCCAACATATTGTCATGTGGATGTGTTTCACTTGCATGCAAATTTTAGAATTGAATGACCTCGAAGAAGTATCGATGTCACGATGTATATAAGTTGAGCACAGTAAATTCTGGTTTGCAAATAGATTATTAAGCAGCATCGTCGAAATGCTTACACAGTTCGCTCTTGAAGAAGCTTAGGCAGTCAGACGGAAGATCACAGACGACGAGCCGAGCATGGATTGAGGATTCATAGCTCTTATAGACCGCACTGATGCTGGGGCGCCATGCATTCGAGCATGTCAGTCGATCATTGCACTCTTCTTTGTGTGATTGTAGCCATTCATTGGATATCAAATTTGCAATGCATTAAGCTACGCGACACCACAATACTTGACACTTGGGCTACCACACGTCAACTGGATAATATGTCTCACCATTCTCGAAATCTCAAAGACGAATCGTTTGGATTCCTGGTTAGCTTTCCACCGTAAGTGTTGGGAATGCGAATCGAATGTTGCATAAGCACCCTTTTCTGGTCTGACGCGGATAAGAAGATGCCGTGATCCATCGCTAGATCATATCAGTCATTTTCAAACTTCTTTATCGTTATTGAGCATTTGGAAGGATCTTGTTGCCGTCAAGAGGTGGTCGACGGTCCTCGGTCAATGCACCCATCAACTTGGTTCGTATTGCGATCGATGTGTTTTCCTACATTGACATCACTAGACTCCTATTTGAGTTTTTATACGAATGGGATAGATACACCAGCACAAGACTTGACAACCGGCCAAATTGAGCTCGGTGGCACACATTTTCAGCAGTCAGCGAGGTCCATCGCTCGGCGATTTCAAAGCTTTTGTAAGTCCTCCATTCGACGACAAAGGCGGCAGAATTTGTTTTGTGCGGGTGCAGAAGGTGAAAAGAGACACGCTGTTGTATGTCCGTATCATTGATTGTGCGCTCTGGAGAAAAAGGGAAGCAACGGACAGTTTCGCAAAGCGGCTTGTATGCGCAGACAAGCAATTATATAATGCAGGGTAGCATTTACGAATGTCTGAGCATGCATTTACTGCTACAGTAATTCACAGTACGGACTAGACTGTGCCTTCCGTCGAAACGTATTGGCAGAGCATACACGGATTACGCCTGCTCATGCTAAGTACACGTTTATTACTACTTGCTTGCAGCGAAGAGAAAGCGCTTGTTGAGTTACGAGTCAGTACAACTCGGTTGAGAGGACAGAAAGTCTATTGCTTGATCATATGCTGCACTCTGTGACCTACAGAAGTGCATGAGAGCCGACACTTACCTACCTCGGCTCGATGTAGCAAAGTTACGAGGAAGGGAAGCTGCTATAGTACGCAAACTCCTGATTGCGAGTCAGTAGCCACGCATGAGCCACAGCTGAACCTGACAGTGCAAATCTTGAAATATTTGATTCATACTCACTGGCTAAACTGAATAGCCCCATTCGGTCAATTGTTGGGTCTTGCACGCCGAATGTCGAAGAGATATGCTACCAACAAAACAATTTGTAAGTAGTGTGCCACGTAGGTCGTAAGTGGACGTTGCGGTCTTGCTCTATACGTGATACTAGCGTCGATGCTAGAGGAGCCTAGAGACATTTTGGGACGAGGGAAGGCGACTGCTTGAATCTAGAGAGTAATGTTGGTCATGTGAGTGCAAGAGCACCCCTTTCGTAGACATGCGCTGAAAGGAACGACTTCAAATGGAAAACACAAGTTTCGATGGAGGAACATCTCCTCATGGAAAGACTGGAGGCGTAGCCGTGAGTGCTCCGTAGGTGCATCGTGTTGATTGCCTGATTCAGACGGTGAAGGTAGCGTGTCTACGGATGCTAACACGTACACTAGCTCTGCTCTGACGATGCTGTCGCGATGGATACCTCTCGTCGTTGTGATCAAGCAGGTGACAAGTCACATCACTTCTCCGCGTGATGTTGAAAGCGCCGACGCTGTCCGACACAGCCTTTATAGTCTTCTGCACGTCGAGTGCTTCTCCACCTTCGCGACAATCTCATTCGCGCGCGCCGTTACGACTTTCTGTCAGGTCGCACGCAATTGTGTTGATAGATTCGTAAATGCCGGGCGCTGGTATCGCCGATGCACAATACATGTGCTGCTTCGATCGGCAATAGCTGGAGTAACGCTGGTGCTGGTGGATCATTGGGTGGCTTATGGACACGTATAGTTGGTATGAAGAGGATGACGAGTCGTCGTCGAGTGTGTCCCTGGCAAGCGGACGGGACGTTTGTAATGTGGGGACCTTTTCACGCTCAGTTACTCAACTTGCCGACTTGTTCTGGTCGCTGTTTGTACGTCGTGGGGACTTCTTACCCGGCTTCAATTGCATCTTTTCCGTGCGCTCTGGACGTACGACTGGTGACTCATACCCGACATCTCAGCAACCAGAAGATCGACAGTGTGGGGCGCACTCTTTTTGAATCGTTTTTCTAGTGTGCTACGGAAGTCTCATCGCTGGAGAATGCTGACTCGGCGGGTGCTCATGTACTCGCATCAATGTGCTGCAGTCGGCATTTGATGTCTCGATGTGCGTGCGTTGTCACGATCGCATTTGCAGACTGCAATTGATAAGCCTTCAACTGTCTGGCAATCCAAAATGCTCCAACTTTCCCAACCGGTGTGCGCTAGCAGCGACACGAACCAGCAACTGCAGTAGCATATGCACCCAGCACGACGTCTAAATGATGCCCAGCACCCGCAAGCGGCTCTCGTATTCCGTCCGACCAATGTAGCACCCGATCAGAGCGCGGTCGCCGCCACTGAAGGCGTCGCGGCCGTGCGTCACTCGCTGGTTGTCCACGATCATCATGTCACCGACCTGCAGTTTCGTGCGAAACTCCATCTCGGGGCGACGCATGATCTCGAGCAGCTTGCGGTGCGCCTGGTAAAAGGCGCCTACCTCGGCAAAACTCAAGTGTGTCAGCGGTGCACGGTCATAGTCGTTGAGGCGAAACTGGACAATGTTCCCAGCGTGGTCAACGCGGATCAGCGGCTCCATCGTGGCCAAGTGCGCGTCGGTGTCCACAGCAAAGTACGGCAGCGCCGTCGAACTCAACACTCGATACGCGTCCGGGTCTTCGGTTCGCAGCGTCTCCGCGACGTAAAAGGAGTCCACGTAGCGACTTGCACCGCCCGTACCCGCCTGAGCGACACAATTGAAGATCTGCAGCCCAGGCGGTTCACGCATGTACGTGCCGTCGGTGTGATGCAGCAGCTCCAGGTCCGACGAGGCCGTGTCGTTGTAGCTCTCGGCCTCGTCCGTCGGTCGCGTTGTCCACATAGTGCCATAGATCGTGCGCAAGACAAACCCAATCTTCGTCGCGAGCTTCTCAGTGTCGTCCATGGAGCTCGGCGTGTCAGCCACACGCACGAGGCCGTAGGCATAGAGGTCCCGCATCACCGGCTCAATGTTGTCCACAGACGCTGTGTAAGTGTGTGTCGGCAGTCGAAAGCCATCGCCAGCCCACAACTTCTTTGTCGTCAGACACGGCTGACGATACGCCTGTGGATACGGAGATGCCAACGGCTTCTCAGCTCCTCCTTCGAGTGCATACGCGTACGTACGCAGCCACTCGGCTTCGAATTCACTGGTCGTGCACGTCGTCCCGCGCACCGGTGCGCCCCAATCAATGGCGAGCGCTCCGCCGGCGGTCGTCACTTCACACCGACGGACCTCTGCGTTTAGTGGGATCGACGCCGTGTCCACTTGACGTTGCCGCGTGTCCGGGTGCCTGCAGTGCACGCAGCTGCAGTGGTCACGCAGCCACAGCTTGTGGAACTTGGCACTGGCGCCGTCTTCGAACGTGACGCGCACCGCCTGTTCCGTGACGAGCTCTGCCACTTGTGTCAGCCGGTGGCCATCGGCACTGGTCGCTACTGTCGCCTCGTTCGTCTGTGCGGTCGAAGAGACCCCACGCGCAATAGCGGACCTCGTGATGCGGTCATAGACAGCAGCGCGGGGCAGAAAGAGACTGCGCACGGAGGGCATTGGGTTGAATGGTACCGTCACTTCGAGGGATCGATCGATCGATCGACTGGCTGACTGGATGGAGATGAGTTGCTACAACGACGAGACGGATACGGCTACGAAGGACTTCACGGGCAGAAGTAGAGCGTCAGTCAGTGCTTGAGGTGGCGATAGACAGAGTGGCAATGGAGACACAGGTCCGGTGTCTGGAGACGTGGGGTAGCGATGATGGGCTTACGAGAGACTTGCGGGTCTGGTTCGCTGGAACAGCCGTGTGGTTTGTTTGCCTGCGGTTTGGCTCAGCGTAACGGTCAGGTGCATACTTAGATCAAGAGAAACGTGCGTCACGAGACGAATGCGAGAAACCAAATGCCACGCAACTGCTGAAATCGACGTCTTGCCGTCAGCTGAGACTTTCGGGTTCCCGAAAAAGAAGGGAATGGCTGGCGCAGAGTTTTGAATCGACCACTTTTTCGTGCGGCTCGGCCAGTGCCGCTCACTTACGTGCGTGTGACTTGTAGTGCTCGTTTCGAGTCAGGACCCAACTGTGAGAAACGAGGTGGTATCCACGAACCGACTTTCTCTACAGCAGTAACGAGGCGGTGTCGAACTTGTCCGAGCCTCCTCGTCTTCTGTCTCTCTATGGCGTCCGTGTCAGCTAGCTGCACAGAGAACGACGAGAACACTTCTTCGTTTTGTCTCCGCTTGTATGTGGGTGTCCGGCACTATGACTGGCAGGCACATGGACCAGGAGGGAAACACAGCAGACAACGAGGTCGAGCATCGCGCCAATGCCTGCCAGCAAACGTGTGCACTCGCAAGCATAGCTGCCGGATGCTATCAACCAAGTGGTCCTGGCAAATCTTCGGTTGCACCTCCTCGATCCGGAGACCAATAACTCAAGCCCTGGCAAACTTCAACGCGCTTGTAGCGTGTTGGACTTGGTCTTGAACAAACATTAGCACGCGCGTCACGCAGGAGACACAAGATGCACTTTTGGCGACGCTGTGCTCATCATCTCCGTCTGACGGCTGCGTCACACTCATTGCCAGCACGTGTCGTCGTTACTGACTTGATAGATCCGCTGTAGCGCGTTACCAGAGGCAAGACGAACACTTACACATTCGAAGTGGAACTCGATGCTGAACGAGGACGGACATTGAGAAAAGCGCCGTTATCGCTTGGCCTAGATACACCCGAGGCATCGATGATGATCTTGGATGACTCCATCACGTTCCATCGCTTGCTGAGCTCCGACACTAGTCGATATGGTTTCGTTGTTGCTGCTGTTGGAAGAGCTCCGCCACTTGCTCGCTCTCCGTTGCTTGCACAGGTTTCTTATCTGGTCGAAACCGAATGAAGCGAGGAAAACGAAGCGCTAGTCCCTTTCGAGGAGTTGCAGCATCGACCGAGTCAGCGCTCGTGCTAGCGCCACAAGTGTACGAAGAAGATTCCGTCAGCTGAGTAGCTTTGATCTCCCACACTTCCTCCGGTGAGAGCCATACGTCAGGATGACTGCTCCGAATGGCACATGACCAATACTGCTCTGGCACACACTCGGTCGCGGGCAAAACCAGTTTTCGAAGGTGCGCTGCTACTTCGATCAGGCTAGCGTCCGAGAAGCCCGTGCCAACCTTTCCGATAGTCTGCGGCAGCCAGAAAATCGATGAAGCATATGAGCACGGGGTGGCACACCTCAATCAACTTCGAGTCATTCCGTACCTCGAATTTGCCGCTTGTGGAGTTGTACGTTGCCATGAGAAACGAGCCAAACACCCCTGCACGTCTACCTTTGCCGTAAAATGCGCCAATGGGCACCAAATCCAGCGTATCAGCTAGGAACGTGCCATTGTCACGGGCATTCACAACAGCAGATTTCTTCTTGCGTCGAGCAGGTTCATCCCGTATGTAGTCGTGCTTGAGCTTCATCCAGGCGTACGACCTTCGCCCAGCTTTGTACTGTGACTCTTCACCGTCCAACAGCTTGATCATCAACCCCTCACATCCACTCGCCACTGCTTTCGCGAGGCACTTTCGCGCGAGAGCTGGTCCATTCCTTGTACCGTCACAAGATGCTACGCTGATGTCCACGTGCTCTACAAACTCGATATAACCAGGTTCCTCTTCAAGAAGAGCGCGCAATAACGCTCGTCGACTACGGAGAGGTTTCTGCAGCAACATAGGCAAAAACCAGGTCGGAAGGCACTGGTCAGATAAAACACATCCCCACAGCAGAACTTCTTTGCAATGTACCTGGAGAAGACTCTTGTCATTGACAGCAAGTACGTCAAACAAAAACAAACAGAACTCGGTCGTGGTTTTCGTCTGCAGTACTTGAAATGGACGAAAAGTCCCAGTGACCCGATCCAGCGCAACGACCTCTCCCTCAACGATTAGTGAATCCACCGAACACAACCCCTGCACTTCCACACCGCGGGCTTTCACGCGCATCTCTAGTACGTCCAAAAGAGACGAGAAACGCTCTGTAACGTCTTCCATGTTTCGGCTGAAAATACGCCGGACGGACTGTTTACGGCTATCGTCGGCCAGCGACAGGTGTACTTGAACACGTGCACCATCGTATTTGTATTCGCAAGTGGCCGTGCGATCTGCTGACTTGGCAATGCGATCCAAGACTGCCTCGACGCTAGAGGTGGGGTACGCAGACATGGTCAGCACGGGGACACCCGTCGCGGGACGAGTTTCATTGCGCAGCCATTCCATCCTCTGTTTGAGATCGCTTTCGTGCTGGCTACTATGTACCAGCTGAGCCAGCGTACTGTAGTTGGGCTGTTGCGCGTATGCTAGCGTCACGCAGTCCACCCAATCTTTTTCTTGTGCTGAGCGTGTGTCATCGTCGAGCCCCTGAGCACTGTCTTCACTTAGCGGCGTGCTAGCCATTGCAAGAGCTAAGAGAATCGACTTTTCGCCCATTCCAATGCGCAGGTTTTGATGCTATCGAGTTGTAAACCAGCAAATAAGTTACGATAATGTCGCTAGCATTTAGTTGGTCAAGTGTCACGCACCGCCAGCATTCGAACGAGACAAACGCGTGCCTCGGACCCTCTTCGACCACGCATACAGCACCATCAGTCACGCATCGTCAGCTCTGGACAACACAGCCTGTTTACAAGCTTGTATGGCCAACCTGCACTGCTGAAGCAGCTTCAGTGCACGTTGCTGCTGTCTTGCAACTTTTCCAGCTCCTTCGTCCTGTGCCATCGCCATCAGCTCGGCATGCACCGCCTGAATCCGCAGCTCACTGTCCGTCTCTTTTAATGCCGGCAGAGCAACTCGTCCGTTGTCCAGCAGCGCGTGCACGGCCAGTCCATAGTCCGGAAACGACGCCAGCACCTGCTCGAGCGTCTGCGTCGAGTTGGCCACCTGTTCTTCCAGTGGCGCTTCCAATGGCTTCAGCATCTTGACAAAGCTCTTGGCCCCGAACTGGAGCTCCACGCCTTCGTACGGCGGCGCCAACTGCGACGCAGTGAGGTACAAAGCGCTCGCGAGCTCCTGCGCCGTCGGAAGCGACAGCAGCTGACGATACCCGTGCGCCAATATCCGCGCGCTGGTCACCCGGGAGCTCCGAACGCGCTAACGAATCGACAAATCACAGCACAGACGTATGGGTTCATGTACAGCAAACGACGGTATCGAGAGGCACATAAGTAGCGCAAAACGAGAGCGCACCTCAACTGCTCTGAAAGTGTGGCAAAGAGACTCAAAGGACGTGACATTGTGGCGAGCGCCAGCGGACGAGAGAGACGCTGTGAGTGGATCTCGAGAGGTATGAGAGGCAGACGGAGCAGAGTAGCGGCTGGAGAGGCGCAAAGATCGACGTGGGCGCCACATCTGCGCTGACCTGCAAGTGCTGTTCGCATCGCTTTGTGAGAAAAAAGCGGTTTGTACGAAAAATGTACACGCATTTTGCTGCTGATCACATTGGCTCACTCGCTTTCCTCGAACGAATTCACATGTATTTGTACGACGAACTGATCATGAATTTGGTGACCGCGGTTACCATAAAAGGCTTGATCGAGTTGGCATCGAGACGATTGAAGAAATTGTACGACTACACAAATACAGCAGCATAAAAACGTTTTTTCCACTATTTATATAAAGTGCACCAGAAGACGGGAAAATACTATTTTAATGCACCACAAGTGTAGATTAGTTGACCTGATATAGCATATATTGTGATCATTCAATACGTCTCCTTATCGTTTGCTTCGTTCCCTCTCTTGATTCACTAAGTAGAATCCCATTTAATTCAATGACAGTCGGATTGCATGAAGACAAAGTTACGTCAACGCCATCATGTATAGCTTAACAATATTATTTACTATTCAACTATCAGGTCACGATGCTTGTAATTCTGTATCCACATTTTTGTGGCATGACTTCGTACGAATGTGTAGCCATTGTCTCGGCTTACAGGATTAAAGTTGATCGAAAGAGACGGTAACTGCGTAAACTGACGCGTACGCAATACTCCATACGACATTAAAGGCACGACCAAAGGAAGCGTGGATTCAGAGCGGACCAGTATCATTAAACTATACACGATTGTAAAGTTTCGCCTTCACGTTGGTTATGCAATTGCAGGCAGTCTCGAGAACTTGTGGACACATTCAAAGAAAGCGGTAAAAACGCAACGCTGATATAATATTGTAGTCACGATTATAGAAGTCGATAGTGGTGGTAGTGATGTCGGTGGTGATATGTAAGCAACGGTATAACGATATTTGTATAGATTCGCAGTAGAGGGAGTAATGCCAATCGTGTAGCAGCTCGGTCCTATATGTCCACTTTGTTCACTTTGGACATGCAAGACAATATGCTGTAATGCACCACTATGCTTTGCATTCTTAACATAGTCGCTATACCTGCGGCGACATTTGAGTATGGTGGTTGTATCGTACGGTTGAGGTATGATGTAGCGAAGGTACCGGCGTATTAACAGCTTTTATGTTGTAATTTCGTGGGGTCAATGAAGAACAAAAGACAGGTCCGTTACGTTAGAACCGTCCAAACGCTTCTTGTAAAATCATTACAATGTACCACAACGCTTGCACAATGTCCTCACAAATATAATATTGGCACACGTATTTTTGACAATTTTGAATACTAGAATGTATAGCACACATTTAGTGGTACCTGTTTCTATCAATAAATCAATAATTCCTTTGTGCTTTTATCGATATTGATATGGCCACGACTAGGGGCACACCCCGTTTTTGCTACGGGCACACCCGCCCGCCTAAAATGATAAAAGAACTTCACATTTTGTAGTGCATAATAGTGTGTGTTCGGCACAGTACAATTGTGTGTAGAAGCACTTAACCGAACTGCTGATAGTGTTTGGCCTAGGGATCTGGCGGTTAAGGACGTGAGATCCATCTACTGCAATAGAGAAATAACCAGTGTCAAACACCTGTCTTGGCCGCGCAATTGCGTCTATGTCCCCTCATACTCATACAATACGACTGAAAACACCGGATAATAAACAAACACCAGCTGAACTCCCAAAATGGCGTACGAAAGCCCGAGAGAGGGACAACCGTCGCTAGAATAGCTTCAACCCCCACCTGCCGCTCTCAATGGAACCAACTTTCTTTCCAGGAACGAAATCGAAACAACCTTAAACGGCTTTGCGGATATCAAGGGTATGCCATCATACTACAAGTGCGATCGTGGCGAGATCTATAGAACAGTCATAACCTCAGTGACGGTGAAAGGAAGCGACGGAATTCCAGTATATTGATAATAAACTTCGTGCGTACTTGATTTTTGCATATTCTTACCCGAAATGATCTGTTTGAACTGGTACATTAAACGGTATGTACCGGCACGTACCTCGTCACAGACGGTGGCCTCAAATTCTGCACATACTGCAAGCCATATGTGTTTGCCCATGCCTGTCACGGTAAAAATCGTCGAAAAAACGAGTCGTTGCCACTAGTGGGTGGTCAGGTCACTTGGCATCGTACCATCGGATTGGATACCGTGTTCAAGACGGTAGAGATTCCAGAAGCCATTGCTCGTTTGGATACCGCCCTGGCCACGATGGATTAGTATAATCTCGCGCAAGAGTGGATCTGCCGTATTAGGTTGGAAGATAGGAGGCACTAGTAAGTGACTACGTGTATTAAACATCATTTTGCACTATCAAAATATGAAGCCGTTTATATCATTTCAAGCGGGTGGGTATGCCCGTAGCAAAAGTGGGGTGTGCCCCTAGCAAAAGTGGGGTGTGCCCCTAGTCGTGGTCTATTAATATTGGTGCTTTTTAATAACCCCTTATACTTTATTTAAATGATGGAAATTGCGCCGGGTTTAACTGCAATACTATTTCTCGATGCCTTTCAATCATGTCGTACTTCATTCAAGTAAAGCTTGATGTCAACATGAGTTTATTGGAAAGTATGCAAAAAATGAGCTTCCGTCCATACAAGGACTGCTTGGATGAACTAATGCGCGCGGTTTGTGCTTATCTTGTATACAAAACAAGTCTTTGCAAAGCAATAAAGGGTTTTCTCGAATACCGGGTCGAATACAACCAGTCAAGGTAGTTGCACTGCTTCCAAAATGTTAGCATTCCTTTCTTCATATTCCGGACGTCTTATTATATTGATAACTTGATCGATTAATTTGTACCAGTACGGTCACGTTGAGTTCATTTGTATCAGGCAATTGCTCGGGAATGTTGATTAAATTCAAAGGCACACCAAAATTCTGCTTGAATATTAATGGTATCGACCAAAGTGGAGCAGAACAACAAATGCGTTTGCGCTATCGTCCGTCGGCTCTACCTTTTCAGAATCCGGTAAATGAAATACTCTTTAACATTGTGGACAATAGAAATAAGCGTGTTGAAGGGGCTCAAATAGGTGTGTTCACTGGATGCCCACGTCAATGGAATTGAAGTGCTGATCGTAGAGGATCACGAGATACGACGATGATGTGCGTGTTGTGTGCGTGTTGAGGCAACTTGCAGGGGACAGTGGTATTCCAACGCTCTGGAGTGAGTGATCACTTTACGAGGGGTTTATACATTCAGTCAGTAGTATTTAGCTCTTAATACTACTTTCCATTTTGGAGCATAGAGAAGCAGTTGGCTTTCGTTATAGGTTATGAGCCCAAATACGTTAACTTATAAGGACAGTCTCACGGATGACAATTACTTAGTGCGGAAATTGTTATCCACTTACGACACTCGCGCGCAAGGATCACGTATTAGATAAGCCAAATCCAGCAGTGCTGCGGGAGAATACCATATGGAAAGTCGCTGCTTTGAAGGCTCTGGCTGTGCTTGAAAAGCTGCTCTCTCCTGACCTATCAGTGTATGGTTTTGGAATGTGAGTCTGATATTGCAGCTTGGGAGGTTTTGGCGACATTCTTTGCGAAGAAGAATCTTCATAATCGAGTGCAACTTCGGAAGGAACTTTATGAGTTTGTGATGGAGAATGGTACGAGTATTATGGATCATCTGCTAAAGTCTTGATGAGCTGTGTCGAAAGATCAGGGCTGCTGGTGACAGCATGAATGATGATGAGAAGCTGTCTTGCTTTCGGGAAGTTTATCATCTGAATATGATGATATGATGCGCATAATTGAGGCACACAGAAACGTGATACTGCTTGGCGCGAAAGAAATGCTCCTCCGGGAGCATGGCACTCTTCAGAAGCGAGACAAGAAGGAAATCGCTTTCAAGGCGCATGATCAGCGCAATGTACCTCGACGCTTTCAAGGTGGACGAGGACACCGTGTACGAGAAGAAAATCGAGATAGCTGCCAAATTTCTGGGAGAGGCTAGACCGATGCGAGTTTTCAAAGGAATTGCTTTGTATGTGGACGGCATGGACACAAACGATCGCAGTGTCGTAACGTGAAGCAATCGAGACCTGGTGATGAGTTTGTTTTGTCGGTTTTCAGTGACAAACCTATTTCGAATTCGACTTGGTTGCTGGATAGTGGGGCAAGTCGTCACATGACTGATAACAAGCGTGGATTTGTGGAGTAAGAAGATTTGGATTACTCCAATTTAAATCACCGTGGCAAATGGACAGCAGTTGAAGGCACAAGGAATTGGCACAGTACGTTTTATACTCGAGAACGGTCGGACAGTCAAGCCAACGGAGGTCTTACATGTGCCTGGGCTAGACAAGAAACTTGTGTCAGTGGTAGTGCTGACGTTCCGGGGCGTGCTTGTTCAGTTTAAGAGTGATCAAGCAGTTCTGATGATCGACAACGTTACTGTCGCAGTGATTAAACGAGTGGGAAAGCTGTTTGCGTGAAATGTAGAACAACATGTCACATTTGAGGCACACAAGGCCGATAGCAGTGTCGCGGTCAATGACTCTAGTGCACTATGGCATGCTCGCCTAGGCCATGTGTCTACAAACAAGTTCATACAAGCGATGAAGTTTGCAATGGTGTTCCGGGAGTTGTTGCACCTGAAGACGGTTTATGTAATGAATGTGCACGCGGGAAAATGACAAATGGCCCGTTCAGACATACCTCAGGAAGTGTACCAAAAACACGTCGACTGCTCGAGATTGTACACACCGATCTTGATGGGTCCTATGAACCCGAAGTCGAAGGGTGGGGCTGTATACGTACTCACATTTATCGACGACTACAGCCGATTTGTGTACGTATACTTGTTAGCAGCAAAGTCCCAAATTTTCGAGCAATTAAAGGCGTTTCGTGCCATGGTGGAGAAGCAAAGAGATTGCAATATCAAATGCATTCGTAGTGACAATGATGGGGAGTATACAAATTATCGGGTCAACAAGTACTGTGGTGACCTTGGTATTATTCACCAGACAAGCGTACCGTACACTCCTCAA